GAGAGAGAGAGAGAGAGAGAGAGAGAGAGAGAGAGAGAGAGAGAGAGAGAGAGAGAGAGAGAGAGAGTGAGGCGATGGCGGCCCGCGGAGAACCCTACAGCGGGACGTCTGTAGGCGACGGTCCTTCGCGTGACGAGGCCAGGTGGTAGCCCGCGAAGCCGGTCGCCCGTCAGCTACTATCCACCAGCGACCGCACCGCACCAACCGGCCAACTGCCACGCACCAACCCAGGACCTGGTAGCGTTTCCACAACGCGCCCGCTGTCCAGGAACGACCACGGGCCCGACAACGTCCGAGCAGGACCAACAAAAAAAATGGCAAAAAAGATTTGTTATCGGGAACTGGGAATCTATGCCGAGCCTCTTGCCACCCTCGAAAAGTTCGGGTACTGGCCAAACATCGTAATTTCCCAACGCTGGCTATGTTCTTCTCTCAATTTCACCTCACACTACCTACCTACCACTACTACTAATTGTAGGCATAGGGGGAACCCCGTAGCAGCCAGAACCCTGTTCACGAGAGAAGATGCGGGGGGCTGCTCCCGACCTGCAGGTGGGCGATACCGGCTAGGGGACAGCCCGTAGCATCAGGGGCCATGCCAACAGGACCAATCCCTGTGCCTCCCCTCAGGTGGTGGTCCCCCCCCCCTACGAACATCAGAAGACTGCTGAATGCCGAGCGGGGGATCCAGTGGTCTCTCTCTCGGTGGCGGGCGCCAAGCATGCCCAGGAAGGTACATGAGGCCAATGCGATTGAACCCACGACCTCCTGAATGCCACTTGCGTGCCTTACCAACTGAGTTAGGCCGCTGGATCGTTTTGAGCATTTCGAGAGTAGTGCAGTGAGGCCCAAAGGGCCTCGGCCTCGCTGCACTACTCGCGACATGCACAAAAGACGAAAATCATGGTGGTGTATCTTTCCATATTCTACGGGAAGATTCGCTCTGGTTTTGCACATTTCGAGAGTAGTGCGGCGAGGCCCAAACTCTGCCGAAAAGATATTGGAAAACGTCGTAATCAGAGTAGGACTTGTTTTGCTGACCTCTTGTCGTAAACGCCGTCAGATACATTCATTAACTCGGCCGTCACTGCTGTCAGATACATGCGCGAAAGTCCTACTCTTTGTTTTCCCGAGTAGAAAGCAATGTCCATAAAACGGTATTTCGGGCGATAGTAATGATTCACCATGCTTTCTCTTCGGGGGCTGTGTGTCCTCGATTTGGCGCTACCTTCAGGGTTCGGAGGACTTTGAGGGGACCTCACTGAACGAATCTGACCGCATTTGGACCCACATTCGGTGGATATGGTGAGCAGAAGTACCGGCGAGTAGAATCCGTGCATGTGTCATCCTTCAGTAGTCCGTGCAGGCAAGGACAGGGAAGGATCCGAACAACTACCGGTCGCTGTAGCTGGGCTCCGCGAGCGACCAGCGCCCGTTCTGAGCTTCGTGGAAGCGCTCGTTTCCCATGTTACCGCGATGTTGACCCAGACGGCCATAGCAGCATAGCTAATATTCTCTTACCTGTGCAAAGCGCAGTTTCTTGCTGTCGACGCTAACAGAGGTACGTCAACTCCTCACTCTGTGTGTGTCTGTGTTTTTCATCTTCGCCGTATAGAACTTCGGCGAAAAAGCCTGACTGTGCCCGGCTGTTTTCGTGTGTGTGCGTGTATGTTTGTGTGTGTGTGTGTGTGTGTGTGTGTGTGTATGT